AAAGGAGCAGGAGGAGGGGAACAGGTCCACAGAGAAGGCTGGTCCAAGATTCTTGACTGGACTGTCAGATATGAGACCTTGCAGCAGATGACACGGTCATCCAGTTAGCAGTTGCAGATGCTGATCTCTGTGAAAATATGTCTATCTCATAAGTAACTCTCTGGACTTGTGTAAAGGCCTTTGGTTAGTGTGTTACCTATATAACCCCAGAGACTGAAATCTAAACTAAGGAGTTAACTTCTTTGCAGATGGAGGATAACCGTTCTAGAGACCTCAGCATTGCTCTTGAATCTTTAATAGAGAATGCAGGGAATCATTAGTTTTGTTGCTAAACAGATTAGGCCTGTTGGAATTATTAATAATATTTGAAATTATTAATATTGATATGGGAAATCACCAAACACTAATTTAACCATTAATTCTTTTATTAAATCAAAAGGCCAAATGGTACTTATACAATTGCTCTAAACATGCCTAAAAAGCCTAACTAATACGCAATTTACTACATCCAAACAGTAACAAAACATTTAGAAGCATTTGATCAAGATACTTACAACTGAGCTAAACCCAGGGGTACTCAGACTCATATCAGCCAGCTCCAACGTGGTCAGGCAGGTATTAGCAATGAACCCTTTAAGAGTTTACTTTTTATACCTTTTAACAAACAAGTGATGTCACTGCCAATTACTGACTTCAGCTAAAAACCAATTGGAGACAGTTCACCCTTCTTTCCACTCTTAATCCACATAAGAGTTACAGTCTCCTTTCCTCCCCTCCTTCTTGGTGTGGAACAGTTTTCCCATTGCACCTGGGTTCACATAGGCTTTAACACTGGTGTGTGGGTTGGGGAAGGGCTGTGTCGGCTCATTGTAAGACAGATTCTCTCTGTGATTTAAAGCCATCTGCAGTCACCCCTATTGATCAGAGGCCTTCTTTTTAGAAAATTTCCCTTATCTTATTAGTTATTCTTTGAACCAGACATCCTCCCTACTTTATTATTTTTGGCCTTATAACTCATTATTTTCAAAGCCTTCCTTCTACTTGCTAGTCACAGCCTTTTTTTTACAACACATATGTATTTTCTTAACCTAAGCTAACTTCAGTTCTTTAATTTTATACTTATCCTACAGAGCCCCTCAAAAGAGAGGTACTCGATGGTTCTTTGGACCTCTCAGGCAAACCTAAAGACTGGACCAAGGAATATGAATGCATCACAGGTATGGCCACTGCTCTAGCTGCTATCATCTGCTTAGAAGGCATGTTTTGTCACTTGATGACCCTCTGCTATCCCTGACTTAGTTTCCTTCTTATCAGCCTCGGAAAGCTGATCCTGGTGAGACAGTTTATCCCAGCAGTGGCACTGGAATACTTTTAATAGTGGGGCTGCTGAAAGCCAGTTCCCTTACCCCTGTCTGCATCCCCGCCCCCTGAGCTGGGGCCAGGAGCAGGGCCGTGTCTCCGGGAGGGGGGAACCGGAAAGGGATAAGGGGGCTGAGGCTGGGGCCACAGCTGGGGGCAGGTGCGCGGCTAGCAGCCGGGACTCTGGGTGCGGGGCCAGGACCCCAGGCGCAGGGCCGGCAATGGAGCCCCAGACCCGGGGCTGGCAGCTGGGACCCTGGGCGTGGGGCTGGGAGCCTGCGTGTGGGGCCAGGAGCACAGCTCTGTGCAAAACCTGGGGGTGCTGCAGCACCCCCCGCACTCCTAGTTCCCGTGCCTATGCAGGTGAGGAAGCAGTATATAGCTAACACTTCCTGGTAGCTGACTATCCTCATCTGGAGGGAGGCTGAGGAGTATGCCTTTTTCCACAGAAGATCTAACCTCTTTGAATTTCTTTCCCTAGGTGAGAACAAGGAGAATCAGATGATTGGTTTCTTTCTTGCAGGTTGGGTGGTTGCAAAAGCATTCAAACCTCAGGGAACTTGGTATCTTCAGTCAGGTCTTTTGCAGGAAGGGAAGTTGATGTGAGCCACAGATCCTTCCAGGGCTCCAGGATGCCTTCATTTGTGGGAATAGCTACCCTACTAGGGCCTGTAATATGTGGCACAAACTGAAACTTTCTCTGCTCAGCTGCCTGCTCCAGGTCTAGAGTCTCAGCAGTTCTCCCCATAGGTATTTTTGTAGTCATTAGGAGAAGTTGCTGGAGGAGCCACAGTGTCATCTGGGGATGAATAGAAGGGATGAGGAGGTCCTGTGGCAGGATACACATCAGTCTCTTCATCCTCCCATTCTTCGGATCAGAATTTCTGAGGGAGATGCTTTGGAGCTCTCACGGGAGAAGAAAGTGTAACCATCCTGGCCTCTTTTCTGCCTTCTTGGATGTTCAACCCCTTTCAGGTACAGGCAATGGAACCCACATGGGCCCGTGAGGCTACGATATCACTGAGCCATAAGGCTATGGAGGTGATACGCCAGGAGGAACCCAGGAAGCAGGAAGCATCCAAGAGGTAAAAGGAGCCTCACCAAAATGAAGATGCTGGAAGTGAGAGATCCAAGGATAAACCTTGGTCCTGTTCCTGACAACAACAAGGTTAACTCTGGGGTGCTCTGGCTCCAAAACCTGCTGCACATAGATAGCATGCCAGGGACAATAGAAAGGGGCAAGTGGGGGCTTCTTTATTTTGTGCTGAGGAAGTAGTAGTAAGGGCCAAGCTGAAGGGAGGTGTGGACCTCCTCAGTGCTGAAAGGTCCCAGGAAGACACAGATGCAACAGTCGATGCAGAGGGTCCTGAGGCTGAAGTAGCCAAGGTAGAAGAGACTGCAGCACTTGGCACTGAGGGAGTGGGATGGGCTGCTCTGCTGTCAAGGACATGGCTGACGTATGGCTAGAGTAATATTGAAAGAGTAATATGCCTGGGGCTTCTTTACATTTTTGTCTTCACCAGTGAGGGAGAACCCTGATACTGTAATGGGAAGCAGTCTTTGAGCCTGCTTCAAGAGCTGGACACAGAGGTAGAGGTAGCGCTTGTAGAAGGAGCTGATTCCTTATTGCCCATGACACTTGGCTTTGGAGAAGAGGACAGTCAGGTTGATTGGCTCTGAAAGGATGATTTCACAATATCCTTGGCATGGATTCCAGGGGTTTGGGGATTGGGGGTCTGTGTCTCTGTCCATTGGGGAACCAGTGGTCCTGCATCCTGATTCAACCATGTGAGACGGAGATCTCAGTGTGGCTTTCTCTGGTATTTCTGCCCTTGAGAATGTTGCCTTTATGATTCTCTGTAAAAGATGTAATTGAGGCAGGTATCTAGGGTTTGACAGTCTGAGAACTAAAGGATTTACAAATTGGGCCCTGGCCTGGAACATGCCCTTTTCCTTTATGGAAGAGGGATCTCATGTTGTCATCTGTGATGAACGTTAAACTACCAAACAAAAGACAAGGTTGAAGTCAGTTGTCTTGGCTTTGACCATTGAAAGGGTGTGCACGTCAGCACTGGAAACACTTGATGGAGGCTAAGGAGGCTGTTAAGTGCCCAGTGGATCAGGAATCTAACACAGACTCTGTCTCTAACTCTATTTAAAACAAGCAGCTGCATACAGAAAAAGAGCAAATTCTCCTGAGGGGGAAAAAGCAAGGATCAAAAGGGAAGTGGCATATCCTGTCAGTGCTGACTCGCAGCCTACAGTGGTTTGAAGGAACGGAGTGGTTGTTGGATCAGCACCTCCTTTAATGCTCCCAGGGGCATGGGGGACGGGGCATGAGGAACGGGCAGGGTGCACACGCAGCCCCAACGGACATGGCCCTCCAGAACGTGCTGCGCTCATGTGCCCCAGCAGGGGCGCTGGAACAATTTGCATAGTGGGGGTGCTGAGAGCCACTGAACCAAACTGTAAACCCTGGATATGATGGGAACCACTTCAAACCAGGGGGTGCGGCAGCTCCCCCCACACCTCTAGTGCCAGGACCTAAACCCAAGGCACCTCTACAGTGGGGACCTGCAGGGCAATCATCCCAGGAGCTCCATTCCTCTCAGCACTCGCTTTCCCGCCTCAAAGCCCCATTGGCTGAAATCTTCTGTCACTCTCGCCTCTACTCCAGTCAGCTTCCTCAGGCTGGGGGTGGGGCTAAAAGCACACTGCCAAACCTCAACTGCCACAGAACCTTGTGGAACCTTTCGACTCCAAGATTAAAGGTTCCTGATTGGAGCCTATCCCTCCCAATCAGGTTCAGGCACGGGTGGGACTTTCTCAGCTCAGGCTGAAGTTCACTTTCTACTGTGGTGTTTAAAAGCGGCTGCTGGTGTGCAAGGCCCTAGATGTGTATAACATGATATCTTATGACCCCCTCTGGCAGTCAGGTCCCACATCCCCCTCTTCTGTCCCTACAGAGATCGGGTCGCATGAACTAGCTGTGTCCCCCTCACTCACAGCTACAGATGACAGCTTCTCTTCCATCAGTCCATACAACAAATCTCCAGACTTCCTTTAAAGGAGCTGCAGTTTAGTCCATGTTGTTGGGAGCAGGACACAGGCTGTTCTGTTAGTTACAGGGTGGGTGCTGTGGTTGTTTTCAGTCATGTCAGTGTGCCTCAAGACACAAGCTGCAGGACTCCCTGAAATATCCAATCACTATGTAGACAGTGTGGTCTGGTGGTAACAGCAGGGGAGTGGGCATTAGGACTCCCAACCTTGCCACTGACTTGTTGTATGACCTAAGGCAAGCCACTTAACCTCTCTCTGCCTCCATCTGTAAAATGGGGATAATATTTACTTTTCAGGGAGCTTGTGAGGCTTCAGTAATGCTTATAAAGTGCTTTGAGATCCTCTGATGAACCCTGGCACATTATTAATTATGAGGCGGCCTGGTGGCCATTACTCCTGACACTGGGTGTCGCCTCTGAGCCGTGGCTGTGTTGCCTTTAGCAACTTGCCTGTGGCTTGTGTTCTTTTCCTGCAGCTTGTCCTTTTACCAGCAGAAATGCGGAAAAACCGGTTATGTGGTTAATTGCTGCACTTCCCTTCACGCCCACACAGTCGGCCTTCTCCTCCTCCTCAGCCTGCACACACCTCTGTCTCTTTCCCTCTGCTGCACTCTGTCAATCCAATAGGGTTTGTGCTCCGATTTTATTAACCCTACTGATCCCCTGCCCCAAGCCCCTTCTCCCTTGGGCAAGCCAGTGGGCTTGATCACAGGTAGCTGCCTTCCTGGCCCTGCCCTGCCCAAGGGCAGCTATTGGAGACAATGGCTGAAAAGGATGACAAGAATTTGAAAGCCCTAAAAGAGGTGTGGAGGAGAGCTGAGAATGCCTTGTGCGCAGACTGTGGGAAGCCAGGTGAGTCTCTGGGGTCTCAGTAACCCAGGTTGGGGAAGAGGCTGCAGCGGAGAGAAGGGGACACTTAGCAGAGATGGATCCAAATTGGGGCTTGGTGTTGGGGAGACAGTTCCATGGGAGGGACAGCTGGAGTAGCCAGTTTTGGGGATGAAGTGGAGGAGTAGGTGTCAGAAACTGTCTAGCCTTGGGGGAGCAGTGTGTCAGGTTGTGGTGGTTTGATATGGGCTGTCTGGAGGAGTTTCTCCTCCATGGAGGGGGAAGGTATGGTGGGAGAGTCATTGGCCTAGCTGGACACTAGGTGCAGGGATTTGTTTTTTGTGTCTGGAGATGGTACCTGGGTAGAAGAGACCCTACTGTGCGCAGTGGAGGAAGAACAGGGACATCCTACCGCTTGAAGTGTAGAAAGATGGGGAGATTTTGCAACCACACCACCTTGGGCTGCTGTCATGTCAGAGCTGAGTAATTACTTGGGGTCAGGCCCAGTCAGGACTTGACAGAAAAGCTTCTAAAGAAATTGCAGATGCTGCAGAAAGTGTTGTGAGTGATTCAGAAAGCCATCCTCTCCTTAGAGCCAGCACTGAACCAATGTCCTGCCATGGAGATATTGTTCTACTAGAAGTGCCATCTTTTGAAAGGAATAGAAATCCAAGATCCTAATCCTGGAGGAAGGTTAAAAGACCCCATGGCACTTTCAGCAAAATGAGGGCGTTAGCCCCAAATTCAATTTTTGGTAATTAATCACATTTTACCTTCCTAAATTCCTACTCGTTTCAATTGAATTCAGTGTTGTTCTTCACTTCCTTGAACAGTTGAACAGTGATGTGTGTTGCTGTGCATTGTTAAATAGCTGCCATATTCCACCCCAGAGGTGGCTGCATTTCTGTATTGGGTGAATGATTCTGAGAGAGAGAGAAAGAGAGAGTCTGTAAATTTTTTGGGGATCCTTCAAAATAAAAGGCACAATCTAGATATAAGATCATTATCCTACTGCTTGGAACAGCAGGAAGGATAGAACGATAGTGATGTATTTTATTAGCTGGTGTCTATTCCCCAGCAGGTGACTAACTCAGATCACATGAAATTGAGGCTATACAGCCCTCCTCATCTGTTTCCCTGGGGGCCTTGACAGCACATTTCTCAGTCATGGCATATCTCCCTTGAGTACCTGCCACTGATCCCCTTTTTATTTACCCTCAGATCCTGACTGGGCATCTCATACTTTGGGTGTCTTTATCTGCCTGAGCTGCTCAGGTATCCACCGCAATATCCCTAACATTAGCAAAGTTAAATCCTTGAGGATGGACCACTGGGACGAGGCCCAGGTGCAGGTGAGAGTCTTCTTACCTGCATCCCTGCTGCAGTGCAACTCAAGTCGGGGTTCTTTGTCCAGAACACTCAATTTCTTGGGTCCTGGGAAAGTGAAACCACATGATCAGGCCTTTTGAGTCATGCTGTTGGACATTCATTTTCATTTCATAACTAGCCTCTTTGCTAGTAGAAGGGTTTTAATACCCCAGTGGAGAGGATTCCTCCCAACCCATCCCTCCCCCAACTTGATGGACGATGATGCACTTACCCTTTGGTGGGCAGAGTGAAGGCAATGGCTCTGCATTATTCCTACATCATGTTATTTTATGACTAGGGTGGAAGTCTGCTTGAAACATACCCTGCCAAGATCCAGGATCCCCTTGGCTGCAAACAACTGATTCCCCACCAGCCAACACCATGGAGACCAGGCCCTAGGTCTTATGCAGGACTCAATAGTCCAAGCATGGCACCCCTTCCACCTCCACCTTGGAAGACTCCACGGCGCTCTGGGAAAAGCCTCCAAATAGTGCTGGATCCAATGGGATCTATGGGAACTTGACTTCTCCGCCCACTGTCCCCCTGGGCACTCACCAGGTCTCCCAGACAGCCATGCAAAATCATCCGTATAGCACCACTCTTTGGAGAGGAGCTGAGTACTCTGGGATATGTTCCCAAAAGGCTTTGCTGCTGCCACAATACACGGGATGGAACAGCAAGAGCACTAAACAAATGTACACACGCCAAGTGTGTGTGCACTGCCCCCACGTTAACCACTTTTGCGATAATTACATTGGGTTCAGTACAATCTATGTAAGTCTCTAAGTCAGACCAGGCCTTTGAGACTTGATAGACACCAACCCTTGTGTAGTCACTCATCCAGGGACATTTCAGTGGATGGGAAAGGGGATCTGCTTAGATGGCTACACCCTGCGTGTAGGGGGGTGGGAAAGGCCCACAGTGCAATTTGCATCAAAGGGAAGGCACTGACTCTCTTGTCTTATTTTGCAGTTCCTGGAGCAGCATGGGAACGCGGTGGCTAAAGCCACGTACGAGGCTCACATCCCCATTTACTATTACCAGCCAACCCACGCCGACTGCCAGTAAGAATGATTACTTAAGAGAGGGTGGACACTTCTGGGATCCTTCAGTCTGTCACTAAGCCCCACATTGTGTCACTCCACAGAGTCCTGAGGGAGCAGTGGATACGGGCCAAGTATGAGCGCAAGGAATTCACCGAGCCAGGGAAACAGCTGCCGTATTCCAACGGTAAGAGCACGGCATGGATTTATCCCTCACATTTATACTGCCCTAGCCCTGGCTGGGTGTTGACAGGGCACTGTCATGAGAAAGCTCGCAGCACCGACATCTCCGCTGGCCCTGTCAGCACTACTGTGAAGGAGCTCACATGCTGGCTTGTACTTACAGGGCATTATTTTGAGGAAGCTCATGGTGCTGGCATTTTGGCTGGGCACTGCCACAAGGAAGCTCACAGCACTAGTGTCCCAGCTGGCACTGATGTGATGGAGTTCACAGTGCTGGTCTGGCCAGTGCCCCAGGCTAAGGAATCACGGTCTTCCTCCATCCCACTCCCAACGACGACAGTGGTCATATTTGAAGTTCTCCTGTCAATGCAGTAAAGCAAACTCCTGCACCCGAGGGCATGCAGAACGAAGCAGGCAGAGCTCTGGGTCACTGCCAAGTGCCTACGTGTGGCGGGCTGGGAGGCTGAGGCTTACATGCAGAGAGTGAGCTCTCTCACACAGACTGGCCTCTCTGTTCCTAGGGCTGAAGGAAGGGATCCTATGGAAACGGGGCCGGGATAATGGGCAGTTCTTACCCCGCAAGTTTCTCTTGTCTGAGCGAGATGGGTGTCTCAAGTATTTTGCCAAACCGGACGTGAGTATGGTCTACTTGGAGGGCAGCTCCTGCCTCGCAGTGCACCCCAACCTGGGGAGAGTGCCCCCTGCTGGTGCCAGGGAGACATTTCTATTCTCCCCACATAGTCCTGAGGACTCCCCTTGCACCCTCAGAGTCCCCCACGCTGGGATACAGCGTCCCTTACTGGTAAAAGGGAGATCATTTCCATTCGCTACATTCCCAGAGGGATTCTCCCTTAGTGCTGCCAGCAAAGCCCAACCTGGGGAGAGAGCCCCTACCTCGTGCCATGGAGACATTACTCTTCTCCCCTTTACAGTCAATGCATCCAAACCTCTGACACACTCCCTCTGCTGGTGCTAGGAAAGCCTTTCCACTCTCTCTGCTCGGAGGACTCCTCTCCGCTTGCCTTGTCAGTGCCTCTCAGTCTCTAGCCAATGGTTTCTATCCCATCTGTATCTTTAGGGCCAGATCTCACCGATTCCATTTCCTTTCTCAGGCAAAAGAGCCCAAAATAAATATTAAAATTGACACCATCAATGCCACATTCCAGCCAGTAAAGATCAGGAACCCCAATGGCCTGCAGATCAGCTACCTCAAGGATAACAAGACCCGCAATATCTTCCTTTACCACGAGGATGGAAAGGTACAGGGGCCTGTCCTAGCCCGAGACAGAAATCCCAGCCTTTAGCAGTAGCAGGTGCTGGAGGGAATGGTGTAGGAAAATGCTGGCAGCATCACTGTACTACATGTTGTGGGAGTGCTGCATGTGTGTGTGGGGGGGTGTCACTGGAGGGAAAGGGGCCGGAGAATTGGCTGGGGGATGAGTTGCTGTATAATTTAGGAGCCACTGTAGAGACTGCTATATAGGCTTTTGGGTTGAAACTGAGGAATGCTGTGAGAGTGTGGGCCACGGGAGGAGCTCATACATATTCCCAAGGAGCTGTTTGGAGGGGTGGGTTGGGTGGGTCAGCACCGGTCACTCTGAAGCTCTCTCTCCTGTGCTGCTTCCCTCCCCAGGAGATAGTGGACTGGTTCAATGCGATACGTGCAGTGCAGGTTCATTACCTGAAGGTGGCATTTCCCATGGCCAGTGACAATGAGGTAAGAGATCACCTGAGAGTAATAACCAGCCCCCCTGCTGGTATCGGTATCTAACACCATCCAGATAGAGGAATTTATCTGTTCTCTCAGAGTCTTCCGGGGAAGAACTCACTATTGTGGCTTGGCTAATGTTCCCTCTAATTTTTTACATCCATGTGTGGAATGAATTTTGCTATGTGCACCAATATGGAAGTGATGTGTGGCGGGGGTGGAGCCGAGGGGTTCAGAGTGTGGGAGGGGGCTCAGAGCTGGGGCAGGGAGTTCGGGTGTGTGTGGGGATGAGGGCTCTGGCTGGGGGTGCAGGCTCTAGTGTGGGGCCGGGGATGAGGGGTTTGGGGTGAAGGAGGGGGGCTCAGGGCTGGGGCAGAGGGTTGGGGTGTGTGTGGGGATGAGGGCTCTGGCTGGGGGTGCGGGCTCTAGTATGAGGCTGGGGATGATGGGTTTGGGGTGCGGGAGGGGACTCAGGGTTAGGGCAGAGGGTTGGAGTGCTGGGGGGGCGGTGATGGTTCTGGCTGGGGATGCAGGCTCTGGGGTGGGGATGAGGGGTTTGGGGTGTGGGAGGGGGCTCAGAGCTAGGGCAGAGGGTTGGGGTGCAGGGGGGGTGAGGGATCTGGCTGGGGTTGCGGGCTCTGGGGTGGGGACAGGGATGAGGGGTTTGGGGTGCAGGTTGCCCCAGGGCTGTGGTGGGGAAAGAGGACTCCCCCCAGCCCTCTCTCACTACAGCAACCCAGGGTTGGGGGAGAGTGCCTCTTTCCGGCCATGGCAGCTCTGGGGCCGGGGCTGGGGGAGAGGTGCCTCTCCCTACCGTGGCAGCTCTGGGGCCGGCGGAGAGACACCTCTCCCCGCTGTGTGCCTGCGTGGCCCTTGATAGCCTGCTGTGCGGCCGCACGGCTTAGAGGGAACTTAGGATGCCAAGCTAACAGTGGTGCGGTTAGAGGGGCCTGAGATATGTCAGAGAGCAGCTCTTCTCTGCCCATCCCCCAGAGGCAGCCCTCTCCCCTGACAAAGCAGGGAAGGTGACATTAGTAGATGGAACTTAGAAGGGGATTAAGATCATGAGAAGGAGGGAGAAGAGAGGAGTTGGAGCGCTGAGGGCAGGCTGAAAGGGAGGTGAGTGAACAAGAAGAACCAGCTAAAGTGAAAGATGTGCATTCTCCTTTTATGCAGATCAAAAGCCGACTAATGCAGAAATTCCTGAAGGAGGGGTACATGGAGAAGACTGGTCCCAGGGTAAGATGGGATGGCACAAGGAATCTAACTGAGACACTAGCGTTCCTGACCTGCCCGGGTTCATTTCAGGATCCTCATGTTTGTCATCATATCCCCAGACTTCTCAAAGATCCGCGGCAATGCTGCTCTGTGCCTCAGCTAGGGCACAGCTGGGGTCTCATTGGGGAGCAGTGAGGGTGGCAATGAGGAGATGCAAAATTAGATGAAGATGGAGGCTGAATTCCTCACTCATCCCACAAGAGTGGGTTTATTAAGTGTATGTACGTGCGTGCATGTGGACCTTGGAGACTGACCTTCCCTGTCACCTGAGCTCAGGGGCCCTTTGGGTGAGAAGTCTGTATGTTGGTGGAGACACTCAGGATTGAAAGAACATGGGTGCTGAATCCCCTTCTCACCTCAGCAGAAGTGGGCTCCCTCCAGGGCAGGGATTTTGAAACCAGTTTGTGTGTCTAGATCAGAGGTGGTCAAACTACGGTCCACGGGCCACATCCGGCCCTCGGGACTGTCCTGTCCAGCCCCCGAGCTCCTGGCCCGGGAGGCTAGCCTCGGCCCCTCCCCTGCTGTCCCCCCTCCCCCACAGCCTCAGCTCGCTCGCTCCGCCGCCAGCGCAGTGCTTTGGGCAGCGGGGCTGTGAGCTCTTGGGGCAGCGCAGCTGCAGAGCCCGGCCTGACCCGGTCTCTGTGCTGTGCGGTGGCGGTGGCCTGGCCCGGCTCCAGCCGGGCAGTGTGGCTGTAGCGCCGCCAGCCACCGGTGCTCCAGGCAGCGCGGTAAGGGGGCACGGAGCAGGGGGGGTTGGATAGAGGGCAGGGGAGTTTGGGGGGGTGGTCAGGGGGCGAGGGTATGGATAGGGGATGGGGCGGGGAACAGGGGGTTGAATGGGGGCAGGGGTGCCGGGGGGGCAGTCAGGAAGGAGGGGGTTTGGGTGGGGCAGCAGGAGGCAGTCAGGGGCAGGGGTTCCAGGGGCAGTCGGGACAGGGAGAAGGGATAGTTGGATGGAGCAGGGGTCGGGGGGGGGGGGGGCAGATAGGAGGTGGGGGCCAGGCCACGACCCCCTCCCCTAACCGGCCTTCTATACAATTTACGAAACCCGATGCGGCCCTCAGGCCAAAAAGTTTGCCCACTCCTGGTCTAGATCAGGGGTAGGCAACCTATGGCACGCGTGCCGAAGGCGGCACGTGAGCTGATTTTCAGTGGCACTCACATTGCCTGGGTCCTGGCCACCGGTCCGGGGGGCTCTGCATTTTAATTTAATTTTAAATGAAGCTTCTTAAACATTTTAAAAACCTTATTTTCTTTACATACAACAATAGTTTAGTTATATATTATAGACTTATAGAAAGAGACCTTCTAAAAATGTTAAAATGTATTACTGGCACGCGAAACCTTAAATTAGAGTGAATAAATGAAGACTTGGCACACCACTTCTGAAAGGTTGCCAACCCCTGGTCTAGATGAAGCCCCGGATTTAAATGAAATGCGGTAGCAATTCCCCTCTCTCCCCCGCAGAGGGCACTCTCCTCCTATAAATGTCCCCTCTTTACCTCCACAGCAGAGAGAGGCCTTCAAGAAGCGCTGGTTCACACTGGATCACCGCAGACTCATGTACTTCAAGGATCCATTGGTAAGTAGGGTGACCAGACAGCAAGTGTTGAAAAATCGGGACGGGGGTGGGCGGTAATAGGAGCCTATATAAGAAAAAGACCCAAAAATCGGGACCGTCCCTATAAAATCGGGACATCTGGTCACCCTATTGGTAAGTCAGAACTTGGATTGCATCCAGCTCTATTGTGCTGTGCTCTGGGGCGAGGAACAGCCGAAGGGTCCCTTTCCCTAGTGGGGTGGAGGCGAGACACAACTCCCCAAATGTCCATCAACAGATGCTTGGCCTCCCCATTCCACACACATCTCTCCCCCACCACCCAGTCATTCCAAGCCCTGTCCTTGCATCAGTCCTGCAAGCAATGGGAACTGGGTTATAATAACGATATGGTGGAAGTGACGCTATCTCAAGATAGCAGGAAGGGAACTGGAGACCCTTCTTATCCAGCCACCCTCTGCGTAATCCCCCTTAATGCCCTTCTAGAGCCTCCAGTTCCTCCCGCCATATTCTTTGGGCTCTTGTTCCAAAGATCATTGCTCATTCCCCCCACCCCCCTTCCCAAATCCCATCCCCTCTTAGTTGCTTCCTCTGAGTATAACTCCCCTGGTGTTCTGAACCACCAGTTCCCTTTATCCCGTTTGTTGTCACCCCTCCTTAGACCTTTTGCACTCATCTGCTCTGCCCCGTCTCCCAAACTCCCCTAGCTCAGGCGCTTCTGGGCCATATCTGTTTGGATGCCAGCGAATCCCTCCCCATGACACATCTGCCTTTCCCTCCTGCTGTGCAGGATGCATTTGCTAAAGGCGAGGTGTTCGTGGGCAGTAGGGAGCATGGATACAGCGTCAAGCAAGGGCTGCCAGCGGGGGCTCAGGGCAGCTTCTCCTGGCAGTACGGCCTCACCATCGTTACCCCCGACCGGGAGTATCTCTTCACCTGCGAGACAGAGAGTGACCAGCAGGACTGGATCGCGGCCTTCAGTCGGGTCATTGAACAGCCCATGACCCCCCAGGAGTATGCAAGTAAGTGCCAGGATGGTGTTCACTTCTCTCCTCCTGCGCCTGCCCACCAGCCTCATAACAGAGAGAACTGAGGATGGCCTGTCTCCCTGCTCTGATATACCCTCTATTTGCCTTCCCTACAGTTGAAGCCTACTTCAAGCTCAGCTCCTAGGAACCCCCCGGAGAACTGGACTGCAGCTCTACTCTGCCTTAGCCCTTTGGGAGGGTGCTATGGGAGAGAAGAGGAGCTGTGCACCAGAGAATCTAGACTCTCCCAGTACCTCATGGTTTGGAGCACTTTTTCTTAAACAGATCAACCAACCTCCCTTTGTTGCAGGGGGGCAAATTAGGCTGTACCCCTTTAAATGGAAGACACATTTCAAGACTGAACATTCAAAGCAACCAGTCACTGAGACCACTCCTAAGCAATGTTGTGATCGAACTGGAGACTGGAAGGGTCTGTCATCCAATCAGGCTTTGAAGGTTTGAGTACCAGGAGTGGTGAAGGGTGGGGGAGGGGGTGTTGTCTTTTAAACTTCCGTTATCGCACCTTACTGGAAAAGGGGAAGCTACCATAAAAGTGGAAACAGTTAAGCACTCATTCAACATGGGTGGTTTGCAGGGTGGCGTGCAGCTCTGGCAGGGAGCGTAGTCTAGAAGCAATTATAACATTACAAGGAAACGGCTTCTCAGTTGCTTAGGGAGAATTGAATTTTTCTGGCAATATAATGACGTTTGACATTTTACCATCATAAATCCAGGAAGGACGTTTAGAAAATTAGTTCTACAGCCAGGGCTGGCACCTTCTTTTTCATTGACCATGCCAGCTGCACACAATAACCCAATTCAACAACTGTCAAGTCACATATTCACAGGCGACCTTCCTCCAAAATTTTGCTGCAAAGATTAAAGAACTGGTGTGTATGTGCATATATAAATTAGGGAATCACTGATACAAGTATGGGGAAGACACTATATGACTATCGACAGTATGGCAGAGACTGTTTTCATTCTGAGCTGTACATTTTAACAGTTGTGTGCGTTCCATGATAATAATACCTAGCTCTTATCTAGCGCTTTTTAGCAATAGACCTCAAAGCACTTTACAAAGGAACAAGTATAATTATCTCCAGTTTACAGATGGAGAAACTGAGGCACAGGGAGGTGAAGTAACTTGCTCAAGGTTACCCAGAAGACCATGACAGAGCTGAAAACAGAACCCAGGTCTCCTGATTTCTAGTTCAATGTTCTATCCACTAGGCAACACTGCCTCCATAGAAGTGTAATACACCGGATTGGCATGTGGGTTCATGTTCTCCTATTAGTGCCCCAACAAGTATAACAGCCTGCTACTTATACATAATTAAAGGAGTTCTTCATTAGCTCAAGCAGTAGAGACCTGTGTTTTGGATCCTGGAAGTTGCAGGTTCAACCCCTTCTGATGTCTCCATAGTTTATTATACAAGCAGCATGTGTATGTACATAGTGTCTATTAACAGGGGCTAACTGGAGTTAATGGTGCACTCAGTAATGTAATAAGCTCAGAAAGAAATGAATAAAAAATCTCATTGTAGTTTATTGTTGGTTAGGTGAACTCCTGTTCTGTTAAAAGTTAACCCAAAGGACTTGTTCTTGGAGGAAACATGAATAACATGATAGCAGAATAAAGGGGGCAGAGTCTGTATTTTTCTACAGTGAGCAGAGAGGGCCATGACTATTTCCATCAGAGTCAAGTTACACCCTACAAAGAATGAATGTAGCCAGCTTCACTTTCCTTCTCTGCCCCTGTTGGGGGGGATCCCTTTCTGCCTTTTGGCCTGGAACCACCATGATCGGAGGGACTTTCCATCTTCTGACGGGAGATCACCTCACATTCAGGGATGAAGACGGTGGTCAACCGCCTTGCTCCCCTGGCACGATGGCACTTTCTTCCATGAGGGTAAAGCTCATCTGTGCAGGAGCCAGAGCTCTCTCGGGGGCTGGTCTGAGATTGTGGCATGAACTCCCCCAGGAACTAAGGACCAAACACAAACCCCACCCCTTCCTCTGTAAGTGCAAGGTGCGTTTCTTTGCCCTGCCTTCTCCACGAAAAACAGAGCAGTGTGTACATTAAAAAGAACACCCCCCCCCCCCCGAAACAAAACCTTACCAAAACAAAACACTCCACTGCACACTTAATTCTCCCCCTGGGGAGAGGATGAGCGCGAGAGAATGCACCAAATGGGACACATATTGGTCACAGTGCTTAGTGAATCCTGGGATGGCACTCAGATACTACAGTGGTGAGGGCATTATAGACCCTGTACAGACTGCTTCCCCCGCCTGCTGTTGTACACTCTAATCCCTGCCATACTGCCAATAACTAGATACAATCAGGGATTTGGCTTCAGCGCAGACAAGCAACAATATTGAGGATGGAATCCAGTGGATCAGGAGGCTCCCAAGAAGCCTCCCCAATATACACACAATGGTACATTTGATAAGTCTGGGTTACATGTAGGTCTATACTATGCAAACATAGGCTTTGCTTATGTAACCCCAGCCTCAAAGCATGGCTGTCCCCAACTGGATAGCTAACATGGCATATGTCTGGGCAAAGGGGATGGATGTGGGAAGGGCAGTAAGACGTAGCAGAGTGTGTGGACAAGCACAATCCAGTTCATCCCATATCTAAAGGAAGGAGCAGCTCCAATAGCTACTCTAGCAAAGGGAAGCTACCCTCTAGAAAGGCCGGTCCCTCATATTCCACTAGGGGGCAGTGATGCAAACATAGGCACCCCATTGTAGGTACACTGGGTTGAGGGGTAGGGGACAGGGTATCACACTTTGGGGGTCTAAAGATACCAGCCCTTTGGGTGTCTAGGAGTGGTGCTCACACCCCCTGAAGTGCTATTGAAAATGGGACAAGTGGTGGACTGCAGCCCCATCAGCAGCAGTGGGAAATCTTGCACCAGTGTATGACTATTGATGGGGCATATGTGGGGCTTTACAATGCAAAGCACCTACTTCATTGATTCAACCCCCAATGCCACTCCACAGTGTGTCCAGTCCACCCAGGACCCCCTTGGAGAAGGAAGCAGCACATATGCCTCTTTTCCCATCCCCTTCCAGGTTAGGGGCAGAAAAACAGTGTGTTGGCTGCCCTGACAACTTGTTCCCTATTAACACATTTCCAACACTGACCCTGGCATTTCTAGTCTGACTCTGGGATGCAATGACTTTCCCTGACGCTCTCAGCCAGCCAAGGGAGTAGGAGTGTCATCCTACGCCTAAAGCCTCCTTAAAAGGAGTGAAAGAAGAAGTAGCAGCTGCAGAGGGGAAAATTAGAGGCAGGACCAAAAGAGTGAAAAGAAAAAGAAAAAGGAAAGAAAAGGAGAAAGATCTGAAAGTGGGTGGAGGAGGGGGAGAAATCTAATGCTATTCCTCACCTAGTGGCTAAGAGCTCAGTACAAACTCTGAGAGCATTGACACTTGGGTGTTAAGCTGTGAGTTAGACAAGTTCCTCCGCGGAGGGGATGATGGGATAGTTTTGGGGGGAATCACAATTTTCCTGTGGTTTTCTCTGAGCTAAGAGGAAGGAGAGATCCAGATAAAGACAAATTACTTGCCCACTGAGGAGGAATTTCTGTTGGTCTCCAAGGGCCAGTGAACACTAGGGAGGGGAGAAGAAGATGAAGAGAGCCGATGGCACCTCACCATACATGGAAGCGTATTTGGCTACCCTGGATCTGAAGGCATACGCCTCTTCTCAACTCCATGGGGCTGACAACTGGTAAGGAATCCTGCTGAGCCGGGCTTGTAAAGGATTGGGACAACCTAATGAGCTGTATTGTTTGGTGTGAGAAATAGACTCTCCCTGACTGTTTTGGTGTCAGGTCAGCCAAGGTCTCTTCTCACTCCTTCCTTCCCCAGCTGTCCCCACATTGAGTCTACAAGAGTACCACACACCAAGGGGAAATGCATCTCTGGCAGTGCATGCTGTAGTTTCTCTCATTACCAGAACGTGTGTTGTGACCCTGGGCCAGTGATGGCAGAGGGGGGAGAGGAAGCTCAGTGTGGTAATTTCTCAGATGATGGTACTAACCTAGAAGAGGATAGCCCACTTACTGGGCTCTTGGGCACCATCCTGACAATCATGTGCCTTTTTGGGATGACAGGGAATGTCTACACACTAGTGGTGACATCCAGAGGCGTGTCTGGCCGCTCAGCTGGTTCCCTGTGTGTCTATGTGGTCAACCTTGCTCTGGCTGACCTACTCTACCTCTCCACCATCCCCTTCGTGGTATGCACATACTTTGCCCAGGACTGGTTCTTTGGGGATGTGGGCTGCAGACTCTTGCTCAGCCTGGACCTCCTCACCATGCATGCCAGCATCTTCCTGCTGACAGCCATGAGCCTGGAGAGGTACTGGGCAGTGACCAGGCCACTGAGGGCCAGGCAAGCCGGGAACAGCTGCCGCAAACTCACCAGCCTGGCCCTCTGGCTCCTCTCGCTGCTGCTGACTGTGCCCATGATGGTCATGATCCAACTGCGGGACAGTGGCAGCCACAACAAGCGGATCTGCTTCCCCACCTGGACGCCCGAGGCCTTCCGCATTTACCTCACGGTGCTCTTCACCACCAGCATTCTAGCTCCTGGCCTGATCCTAGGCTTCCTGTACTGCCGCCTTGCCAGAGCCTACTGGACTTCAGTGGCGGCCATGCAGCCATGGGTGACAGGCCCGACCTTGAAGCAGAAGCTGTTCTCCAGGATCTTCAGCATCATCGCAGCCTACTGGGCCTGCTTTGTACCCTTCTGGGCCTGGCAGCTCGCTAAGCTGTACTGGAGTGAGGGCCTGGGGATCAGCCCTACCACCCAGGCATACCTCAACTTTGGAGTGACCTGCCTGACCTACGGCAACAGCTGCATCAACCCGTTCCTCTACACCCTGCTCACCCGGAACTACCGCGAGCACCTGGCCCATAGTGGGGAGAGGCAGGCAGGGGAGCAGGTCCTCTTCCTGATGGGGAAGCAGGGTAGGGTCCAAGCAGAAGGCATGCCCATGGCCTCCAAGGGACTGCCAGGCAGGGGGCTTGGGAAAGGAAGGCAGGGGGGAACCTCCGGCAATTAAACTCCAAGAACAACTGCAGCCAGGACTTAATGCAGCTCTCTGCTGCTGCTTAGTAGTCTCCCAAGGAATATTAAATACATCTCCAGCTCTGCCTTCTGTACTTACCTGCAGTGTCTCCTGTTCTCTTACCGAGCAGCAGTGATGGTGTCTGCCCTGGTACCTTCTCCTTCCCAAATGTCTCAGAGCCCCTGCTCATTCACTGTCCATTATAGCCCCCGGCTCTCCCACCCACTTAACCTACTACCAGCCCTTAGGGCTCTCCAAGAAAGAGACGCTCCTCTGAATGCTAATCCTCTTGGATCCTTACTGGGCCCTCTGCTGGTGGGAGAAAGGGAATTCAACCCTAGGCTTTCCTCTTCTAGACACACCATTGGAGGCCTCTCACCAAAAAGTGAGCAGGTGGAGGGAGCAGGAGGCCCAGCAGCTGATTCCAAACAGGGGCACAGACACATGTGCTATTAGTGCCTCTAGCAGGGAAGCCTGCTCTCTCCACTCTGGCAACAGGCTGAGCCCTAGCGAGCTCTGGCTAGCAATGACTCACAGCAGGCTCTGGGGAGATTAGACTGCAGAGTCATTTCCAGCAGTACCCAATTTAGCATCAAGGCTGGACTAAGGGGCCTGGCTCCTGGAATCTCAGCTTTCAGGAAAATAAATGGGGTTCCAGGTGTGACCAACGTGCTGATGTTTGCGTGAGATGGCCTGAAACAAGGGCTAGGGGAAGTATGAACAGCTCCCATTCATTTTAATGGGGGAGGGACTGAATTCCCCACTGCAGGGATCGGCAGGGTCAGAGAGAGTCCAGCTCAGACAGGTGGAGAGACTGTCCTACCTCCTCCTGGAGATACCTGTCTGCCTGAAGACAGGGAGTGATGGTCTAGGGAGCAGGGTGAAGCCTCCCTGGCCGAAAGAGCAGGCCCCTGGCCAGCCCAGTAGACAGTTTTCTTGTGGGTGGTCCCTGCTGCTAAAACCCCCAAGAGGGGCATGGCTTTGGCACAGGGGCAGGCTGGGAATTGCCTTAGTTTGGCCCTATTTAGAAATTAGCATGAATATGGGGACAGAGTCCCTGGCTTTCCCCTCAGATATTTTAATAGAGAAACTTATCCATGTTCCCCACCCATGGCCAGCCCTTGCTTCTGAGGCAGCACAGCTCCAGCAGGAGGGGGGTAGCACCCGGTGGAGGGCAGGGCCAGGCTCAGTCCAGCAGACTGGCTTACCCACAGCAGGGGGAGGAATGTATCATGTGTTTGTAACATGCCTCATCATCACATGCCCAAGATGGAAGGAGCGGGGAGTGGTGAGAGTCACACCACCCAGGACTAGCCTGAAAGAGGCGCACAGTTCCTGGCTCCTTAACAGGGATAACAAAAGCACAGCTTACATGGCTTGCCATAGGCAGCAGCTCCTGGCTTTAAGCTGCTGGGAGTAGGAGTGTGGCTCCCACTCAGTGCTGACAGTGCAGTATAATTTTGCTGTGGGAACGGGCAGATGTGGGCAGGGGTAGAAGTAGCATGCTGTAGCCCAGCCAGCACACTGCATTACCTTATCTGCACACAGGAAAGCAGCATAGAGATTGGCTCTTATGGGTGCCACAAAACAATCAGAGCCCACTGTTGTGGCCCCTTATTTTCCCCCTACCACCTACAATCTCTGATGGGTCTGTGCAGGAGCAAGCATGCTAGCCTCTGCTTCCACCTCCAGAGTTATTAGTCTGCAAGCCCCGACACGCTAGTCTACACTCAAAGCGCTACAGCAGCACTACTGCAGTACACCTCGTGAAGACTCTCCAGCCACCAGGCGAGAGCTCTCCCGTCAGCATCATAAAACCACCTCCCCGCGTGGCAGCAGCTGTCAGTGGGAGCAGCTCTCCTGCTGACATAGTGCTGTCCACACTGACACTGAGGTCAGTAACTAACGTCGCTCAGGTGGCTTATTCACACCCCTGAACAACATAGCTATATTGGCATAAGTGGTAGTGTGTACAAGGCTTAAGTGCCACATAGATTTCATGCTTGGAATTCAAAGTAAACTAGTAGAGGGAGACCCTAGTGTAGTCTAACATGGACATGGTGCACATGAAGCAGGGATAATAGGTCAATTATCTTTGAGACTATGACTGGAAAAGGAGTTCTGTACTGCTCCTAGTGTAACCCACACACCTCTGGGTGTGGTGTTCTGTCCCATCTAGTGGCACAGAGACCACTTAGAGAGAGATATAAAATGAGTCTGCTCTACAGCCTTAGCTAATAGCCACTTGGCTTTTAGCTCATGCAGTAGAGGCTCATGCATTAAGCTCCAGAAGGCCCCAGTTCAATCCTGCCCACTGCCGACCGGGGTCTGTTGGTGTTACACTAGTGCTACTTCAGGATGGCTAGCAACCCTGGGGGACAGTACAGTCGGTGTTGTGGGAGTGAGATGGGCCTTCACAAACAAATGTAGGTAGAAGTGAGACAACCTAGTACACCCCACTCCTGTGCCTCCATACAACTCTGTACACATTCAGTGTTGACATGGGAGCAACCCCTGTTATTCTAGTCAAGGTCTTAGACCTCTTGAGCAGTTCTGCAGTGTTTAGTGATGTGTAGAGTCAGGACTAGACACATTTACCAGACTCCTTTCAGTCTGAATGAGTGTGAAGCTAGATCCTGATATTAAAATTTTTTAGTGCAATAAGCTAAGTAGAGCAAAGACCTGCTCTTGCATTCATTAGTGCCAGGCACAGCCACCCTGCTATAGAAGTACTTTCTGTTATTGATATTTTGGTCACATTATCCTGGTCCTTCAGGAAGTCCACCCTCCAGTGTCCAATAGCCTCTCTGGGGACAACAAGCCAAAAGCTGGCCCAATCCCACTCAGCTACACAAGGTGCCATCAGATCTGACAGAAGGAAGTGACAGACCCAGGAATGGATGTGGAGTGCTGTGGGAAATGCAGAAGACACAAGAAAGAGCTAGTTGGTTTAGTAGACCAAATTCAGTGGTGTTTATTGTGTTTCCTTTTAAATATCCCTTTGGTGTGTGAGGAGTGGGGAGTTATTCCAACTGGATGGATTTGATTTTGAAGTCACCTTCTGCATTCAGGAAGTCGATGACCTGGAGACCCAACCGGTTAGGGAACTTGAACTGATGGTTGTTTGGCAAAGCAATTGTTAGATTACTTGGGTCATGAGTGATGAAGATCTGCAAGAGAGGAACAGAGAACATGTCTGCCAGGGTCTGCTAGATGCCCATCTTCTCCTCCTGCCCAAGTAGCAGGATCTTTAAGCTAGAGCATGGGGCTGGAGCAGCTGCTTACTGGTGGTCAGGACTCTGCCTCACCAGCATGGATATGTGAGAGGTGGGTGTGGCCTCCTGCCCAGACAGGCTCCTGCCCAACTTTAGACTGAGCCCCCTCTGTGTAATACTTCAGCCCTCCCTTTCAGGGACACAGCTGAGTGTGTCTCATGCACAGGGACACCACCCAGATCCAGGTCATTCCAGGCCTCACCTCCACATTGGTGCCCTCCTGGAAGGGGAAGGCTGATTCTCTCTGCTCAGCACCCCACTCTCCTTTGTCCAGGGAGTTGCACACGATGGTCCTGACATCCCCATGAACATCAAAACGTGGATTGAAGTGCAGCACTAGGTTGGCTTGGTCTTTCCCTAGGTTCAGCACAAAGCTGCAAGATAGAAGAAACTAGTGAGAAAATGGCAGCCTCATGCATGGCAGCCTGGACTGCAGCAGCACCATATACTCTTACCTCTGTGGCCTTGGGGGTCACCTCAATCTGACCAGCACCAGGTCAGAATTTGTATAGGAGCCCTTCAAGAAAGCCCTAGGGTTCTGCAGGAGGAATTCAGGAGTGAGTCCCTACTCTTTCCCCTGAGGCACTGCCCCAGCAGGGTGCGGTCTTTTGGCTAGAGACAGAGGCCCTGGATACTTGGGTCCACAGCAATTTTCAGAAGAGAAAGGGTGGGGTGTTAGCCCTGACCAGCTTGGAGAATTACATTCTGCACCCTGAGGTCCCCCTGGGGTTTCAGTTGGGTGCTACATTCTTCCCTTCCTGTCCTAAACGAGCAATTGTTGCTGTTCCCCGTTAATCAGCTGCCACCTTCCACCACAGAGGCAGTTGAAGCAATTACTGACTTATTAATAAGCACATCTCATCCCACAGGCTCTTCCAGGGGAAGAGCCATTCTTCCCTATGGGGCTCCTCCCTCCCTTGGGGCTCTCAGTCATACAGACAAGAGCGTACTGTTTAGGGAGAGGCAGCACAGAAGGCTGTGCAAGATGCTATCACACTTCAAAGGGAGTGGGAAGAGTTGGGGCATGTTGCTCCTTGGAATGCCGGTCTGTTCCCAGGGTGGGAGCCAAACTCTGCTCCCACAAGGCAGGAAAGCCCTGCCAACCACACACAAAGGGGACGCAGACTCGCTGGGCTTTGGTGGCCAGACATGCTGGAGAGAGTAGAGGCCCTCAGAGAGCAAGTCTACACAGCAAAATAAACCCCAGAACAAATCAGAGCAGTGAATCTCAGAGCCCGGGTCTAGAGTAGGGTGACCAGATGTCCCAATTTTATAGGGACAGTCCTGATTTTTGGGTCTCTTATATAGGTTCCTATTACCCCCCTGTCCCGTTCTGATATTTCACACTTGCTAGAGACTTGGGGTCATGCTATGATGCTGAAAGATTGCCATTTGTGGGGATTTTTATTTTGCTGAGTAGACCCCCCCACAGGTATGTCTAGGCACCAACTCTATCAAGGCTGCCTCTGCCTGGCAGAGCTGCACCACAGGTCTGCAGCTGGAGGAGCTCCTTCAGATCCAGTTGCCCTCCTCCAACCAAAAGCCCCACCTGCCTGCTCACCACACCCTGAGGGAGGCCATCTCCTTTCTTCACACTGAGCTACTCCATTTCCCCTCTCTGCACTACAGGGGATGTGGTTGCTACTAGGGGAGGGGACTGGTGGACTTGCATCTGGTTCTACTTATCCTCTTGGCAGAAGGGGTGTGGGGGGGAGAGAT